ACAGTGCCGACTTAGCATGTATACATAATCTAAAATTCTAACATTTTTTTTTCATTTCATTTTTCTCACTAACTTAAACCTTGTTCTATCTCTTTCTCCAAACCCAAACTTAAATTTTAACCAAGAATTACATGTAATTATCACATCTCAGTTGTAATATATAATTTATTACGACTCCATTTATTATTGAGCTTAAGTCTTATTTGGTCCAATTTATCTTGATTTTGTTATTTGGTCAAAGCTCAAACTCAATTTTAATCTATCTAAGGTAAGTTTTAATTTCTTAATTTTCATTTTGATTTTATTTTTTCTTGTGATCTGCGATTTGGAATTAATTGTCTAAAGGTTGTGTTACAACTTGCTTAGAATTTCAGTTTTTAAGACCTAAAATCTGTCACTTATGTAGATGAAAAGTTTGGGCCTCGGATAAAATCATTTCATTTCATATTATTTTGCATCTCCCTTGTTAATTGATTTTACCCCTGCTATTTATAATGAAGATTTTACTACTTTCTTGATGAGGTGGCAAATGTTTAGCTTTCTGTTTCACTATTCTAATCTTGGTTGGAGATAGTTGGCTGGTGTTATTCTCGTATTTGCTTTTCTCTCTTGTTTTTGCTTCTATTAGGTGCTGAAGTGAACTATCTTATCGAATCTGTGGTTGTCTTAGGTATTGGTACTTTTGAAATTGTTAAAGTAGTGAGATGAAGATTAACTGTATTTCATAAGTAGAGTGTTTTATTTTGTTACAGCTGAGGTTGTGGTAGGATCAGCAGCATGGTTGGGTTGAGGTATTTCTTGTGTCTGTGCACAGAGAAGAGAGAGTGATACTCGTCCATCATTTGATTCAACCCCTTCCTAGGTAATGTTTTATGATCTGACCAATCTATGTGTCTCTACTCCAATCAACTATATATGATGTTTATTTTCCTATTTTTGCTGTAATCTGTGTGCTGGCTATCTGGTATGTATTGTAGTTCCCGAATCTTCCGTGTATTTTTCCTAGCAAAAGCTATGGACACTGGAGAGTATCAAATTCCAACTATACTGTCATATAATGTTGAAATTATTCTTCAAGTTATTGCTATTAAGCCTAGTCTATCTTGTTAAATTACCGTCTTACCATTTAATTTTTGGGATTAACTATA